CTTAGAAGATCACAGTCAGCATTTAAACTCCTCTTCCTATGTGAACTGAGAAATACTGTTACTGCTTCTTACTGTCCTTCAGAGATACACCACACCTTAAAATGATTTTCATTATCTGTATCAACTAGGACTCTGAAATGGAATAGACATCAGAGTATCACAAATGTCAACTAATTACCACATGAAACTTATCTACAAAGAAGATCTGTTTTCTAAAACTTCTATCATACTGGAATACTGAAGCAATGCCGACAATACATCCCACACCCTTCACAATCCAGTCCAATAATCACCTGAAGCGTCTGCAACTTTCGACTGTGGTTGGGGTCATTTTGTTACTGGCTATAAAAATCCATATGAAAGGACACATCATCAAGGACTGACAACTGAAAGACCAGGGCCAATGATCGCTGCAATCATACACCCGCTCATACGACTTGGCAACTGCGATGACCGAGATGGGCTCGCAGACCACGACACTCAGCGCGGGCGACCGGTCCGGCGGTTCAAATAAAATTGTTTTCCTCGTTGATCCAATACGGCTCTTTGTTGTGACTACGATAGAAAATTTGCTCTGGCTGGGTGGGAGCTGGACAGCCCGGAGATATCGGAGTGATTGGACTAATGATTTCTCTACGGTGCCGCGGTCGAGGAATAGCTTTCATGTTGTTGCATCCCTTTGTTTATCTTTTCACAATTCTCAACCGACGCAGCTCAAAGAAGGGGGAATGATTTCGACATCATCTTATAAGGTGACCCTTTCATTTCTACTATTGTAAATATCCAGGATTGGGTCTTGCGGAACCAGAATACGGGGAAAGTCGAAGTTACATGCACCTTCCGGCACTGGTATGCCTCGACCTCTGAGTAAATTATCCATCTACACACCCTTTTCTGATTTGTGAGGACTTTAGGTACGCGAGGTTGAAGCCTGCCCCAGGAACTGCCTACAACGGCACCAGAAGAAACGCAGAAGAATGCTACTGCACTGAGTGTAGGCAATGTTCCTTCCGGGGAAAGTAACAGCATCATTTACTTCTTCAGACGACCCAAGAAGGCAGAGCTCAAGAGATCAACCGACTGGTCTCCTCCAACTTCTGCCCCCTCGTCTCCGGCAACAGGAACAGCCCCCACAGGAGACCCAGTAGCGCCACCACGAAGAAGAACCAGAAGGTGCCTTTCGGCTGCAGCGCATCCGCCAGCATCATCGTCGGGACAGCCTGGTAATTTGTTTCAGTCAGCCAAACTATCCTCTCTACAACCACCCCCGGCTCACCAGCGGATGCGATAGCCAACATCTTTTACAGGTCCACCAACAGCAAATGAAGCAACATACCTTGGTAAGCGCGAACCGGTTCGCATAATGCACACACATCAGCAGACTCGTCCCTAGTGTGCGCACGGCGGTGGGCAGCATCTCCGCCGTGATCAGGTATTGGATCGAGTTCCAGCCAAAGGCGTACCCGACGCCTGTGATATAGATGGCGGCGATGGCGGCGATGGCCGCGCGATGAGCGGACGCGCTACCGTCTGTTCCGGAGGGTAGCGCGGTGAGGTAGATGGCCACATACAGCAGGGCGAGTACCTGCAGGGCAATCCCCAGCGTAAGGCAGCGTTTACGGCCGAGGCTGTCAAGAAACAGTACGGCGCAAAGGAGGGCGGAGCCCAGTTTCACGGCGCCGAAGATGGCGGTCTTGAAGAGTTTCTCCGAGGAGCCGGTCATGCCGAGGAGGGAGAAGAACTTGGGGGCGTATGCTGTGGAAAGGTGTCAGTTGCTGGAATAGTCGGTAGGGATGGAAGAGGAAGCGGGGGTTCAGACTCGTGATCGCGTTGGTGCCGGACCATTGACTCAGGAGTTGGGCTGAGAGCAGGAACAGAAAGCGTTTGCGGTTGGCTGACTGGCCGAACAAAAGTTTCCATGAGGTCAGCAAAGATCGTCCGAGATTCTTAGAGGTATTGTGTGCTGTCTGCTGCAGGATGGATTCAATCTCGTCCTGGATCTCGGGGCTGTCTTCTGGGAGGGTTCGCAGTCGACTTAGGGCTCGTGTGGCCCGGTCGGTGTGCTGCTTCTGGCATAGATAGCGGGGGCTTTCGACACAGCCGATGGACACAACGAGAATGAAGCCGGCCATCATTATCTGACTCGACTGCGGAATGATCCATTGCTGGTTGTTATTGTTGGCGATATGCAGTGATGCGCCGTACCCCGCAAAATACTATAGCCCGTCAGTTAGCGACTGGCTGACCACCGCCGACGGAACCTCTGCAACTCACCCCTATCAAAACACCCACATACTCCGAAGCAGCATAAACACCCACCATCATACCCCGCCACGAGGCTGGCGCAATCTCAGCAAGATAAATGGGCCCGATAATGCCAGCTTGGCCAATCCCAAGCCCCACGATGAAGCGACCCGCCAGCAGCTGGCCATAGTCACCCGCTGACGAGATCACTAGCGCCACTCCTACGATCCACAGCACGCACAACTGCCGCATCATCCACAGCGGGCTCACTCTATCACTCAGCAAAAAGGCTAGCACTGCTGCGGGTAAGCATCCGAGGTTCACCATGGACGTGATGTTCGACAACCGGTTGGCTTGCTCAGCTGCACTGAGGTTGCTGGCATGAAGCTTAAACTCCTGGATGAAAGAGAGCAGATCCACAGTGGTCGCAATCAGACCTTCGTCTAGCCCTTTGGCAGATCCCAGCAGGCCGAAGCCGATCATGGCGCAGATGATTTGGGGGGCAAAGCATCGCATGGTGATGGCGTGAATGGCGCTTCCATAGCACAATCTGTGCTTGACGAGACCTCGGATGTTCCTGGGTGTTACTCTCATCTTGCAAGAGTACTTTCCTGGTTTATAGGCAATTTGAAAGACACCAAGGTCCCCTGCTCCAGTGCACCGGACAGGTTTTCGGCTTATTGTGGAAGGTCTCCGGGGTGGGTACCCCCAGACAACCTCCACTACGGAACAAGTGCGACCGCGAGTTCTCCGCGCCAGTTACACTGCTCCCCCCTCAGCACATCGTAAAGAAACCTCGTCATGTGGAGGATGTCAGTCAGGTCAAGCAATGTCTATTGAAGATTTTCGAAGATTTGTAAAGCTGCGTGTGCGAGTGGAGCGACAGACGCGTTGGAAGACTGCATGATAGCTATTCTGAGGCTATCATAGTGGATTCGTCTGGAAGTTAGAACACACATTTCAAATGAAATTGGCCAATGCAATCAACACAATGAGGTGGTGGCCCAGCTTAGCTAAGAATCTGCGCATGCGAGGGACGGTCAGCCCTATAGGGCTGGACAAGGCACGGAGTGGGGCTGCACAGGCCAAGCTCTCGGATCGAACGGCAGGCAGCCAGACTCCGGCTGTTTCTGGAGCTGGACAATGCCGTGAACACCGCAGATGAGCTGAATGAGGATAAGTGTTGGCAGTTACTTGCGCAGCGCACGATCCCCACGCCCTTGGTGCATATTGTGTGCCTTCTAGCGGTCAGTGATGGTTAGTCCTGGTCTCCCCCCCCCCCAACACCCCCAACATGTGCCTACCTAGTTGCAACTAACACAAATCTTGATAAACTCAACGTATACGTATAACAAGCCATACAACAACGAGCAATTAACCCGTCAGCCCACATCCACACCCCAGAAGCAAAATAAGAACTACCCCCGAACCTCATTCAACCACCACCCCAGCTCAACCCCCAACCTCCCCGGCTGATCATACATCACCAAATGGCCCGCCCCCTCAATCAACATCAGCTCCCTCGCATTCAACCTCTCCCTCAACCTCCCCGCCGTTTCCACAGGAATCCACCGATCCTCCACCCCCCAAACCACCAACACAGGCACGCTGGCGCCAACCTCACCATATCGCCCCTCCACCGCCTCCGTACTCCGATAATTCGCCTGCACCATCTGCCTCACAAACCCCTTCCGCCCTTCCTCCCCCCTTCGCACCCACGGCTCCTTCAACATCTCCATCCTCTCCTTGCTTAGTTCAGTAAACGCCGCATCCCGAATATACGCCTCCACAACCCCCTCAAACACCGGCCTAGTCAACGCCTCAAACACCACCTGGTTCTCAGCCACCAGCTTAAAGAGAGGCTGTCCGAACGGCCCCAGCGCCACGACATTGATCAAGCACAGACTTGCATATTGAAGTCCATGTAGCAGGTGCGCGCGCAAACTCATCAACCCCCCGTGGTCGTGGGCGATCACATGTGCGCGTTTTTGGTAGACGGGCGGCCAGGTTTGGGACCAGTGGGTGTACAGCGCGGCGAAGATGGCAGTTTGGTCGGATAGGTCGGCGTCTAACGCGATGGAATTGGTGGTTTCAGGGTCGTGCTGGTGGGAGGGGAGCGGCGTGCCGAGCGGGCTGTGGCCGAAGCCGGGGTTGTCGAAGAGGTGGATGTGGAAGGTGCGGGCGAGGGTGAGGGCGTAGTCGTTCCAGACGGCGGAGGACCAGGGGGTGCCGTGGATGAAGATGAGGGGGGGGGGGGAGGGGTCGCCGAGGGTGGTCCAGTGGATGGTGTGGCTGTGGGTGGTGGTGTTGTGGTGGAAGGTTTGGGGGAGGGGGATTGTTTGAGGGGGAGGTGTGGAGGGCATGGTTTGTTGGTGATGAAAGAGAGGCGGTGGATCAGGGATCAGGGGTGGGTTTGTATACTTGAGCGGGTTTTCCAGAGGGTGTGTCTTTATTTACTTTGAGAGAGTAAAGGAAAGAATAAAAGGGTGAGGCTAATCAAACCAGCATGGAGTGAAAAGGGGTTCTGAAGGTAACGATATTTAAAGTCACCTCTTACATCAGCAGCTGGGACCTTAACCTAAGCGGAAGTACGTCAGAAATGCGGGGTTTATCAGCTGCTATGCAGGGATCCCTGCTTGTTGACAACAAGCTAGATTACACCAAGACGGTACTTTATTCGACGGTAGTCAGAAAAGCTTACAAAGATTTATACAACTCGGAATCAAACTAGATTGCTAGGAACCCGACCTTAACCCATCAAATTCACACTTAGTTGGAAACCAGCAAGGGTAAGAACAAAGCCAATCTGACCTTAAGTAAAGATAGACAACAGACATAGGAAGAATAGACCCAGCACCCTCATCTCCGACCCTTCTTACTGAATGAATCACCCCTTCACAACCCCCGTGCTTCCATATACCTCGCCCCCTGCAGCCCCGCTGGGATCGACTCCTCGAAGATCACCACAGCCTCCCCGTTCTCGTCCTCTAGCCGCTGGAAATAATTGCATCCCCCCACCGCACAAGTGTAGAACAAGGCGCCGGGAAAGCACCGGCGGTCATTCTGGCTGGCGACCTGCAGACGACAGGGCAGCTGGCCCTCACAATCACACGCGGGGTTGTCGGGGTGCACCCCTCGCAGATCCGCGAAGCACGCAAAGGTGCCACAGTGGTGGCAGCGGTAGTAAGGTCGTCCAGCGTTGCCATTCTCGTTGTTCTCGGAGACAATGTACTGGGATGTGATGGCGTTGCATCTGCGGCAGGGCGGAGGACGTGGGCGTTGGGGAGCGGTTGGTGCGGTGGTGGCGGTGCGTAGGCCGGTGCTGGTCATTTGAATGGCAGAGTACTTGGTCGGTCGGTTGGGGTTGAGGTTGGGCATTCTGGGCTTGTTGGTGGTTGAGTTGATGGTCTGTTTCGGCTCTCAGGGAAGTCAGTCGTGAGATCTTAGACGTATGACTGAGGGATGATGAGATAGATGGATGATAGCTTTTTTTGTCGGGCTGGATAGCATGAAACAAAGATTCATAGTTAATGAACGGATTGCATAGTAATATCTAGCCTGAGGGGCATAATTTATGCAATCGTGGAACACAAACAACTAGGGAGCAATGGCGGAGAGTAATTCCCGATGACAGCTTTCTTCGTTCAGCGAGCCACGACCAGAAACTCATGTATCACGGTCCGCCGACCGCTGTGTCTTCTAGCAACGGCATCTGCCCTTTGAGCATACTCCCACCACATACAGATATTGAGTTTATCCTCCCACCAAGATGAACAGGTCTTGCAGTAGCCGGTATCTTTGGCCGTATTAATCTTATCGCGTTCCAAGCCCATTGTGTTTTTGTAAGCTTCAAAGTCTGCTGGTGAATGCTTCCGATATAACGCCTACACCTCCGTCCAGCGCGCCTGAACAGCGTACCATATGGGAGTCTCGCCAGCAACGTCTTTTAAAGTGATACTTGCACCGGCAGAAAGAAGCAGCTGGGCGTGATCCACCCATTCATGGTAACCTGCATGCGATAGGGCCGTCACTGCCCCGTCCAGTGTGTAGTCGGGATCAGCCCCCTTGGAGAGAAAATAACTCATCGCGTCATTGCGTCGGGGACGCTACGTTCAAGCTCAGAGAACCTGTTAAAAAAGCCCTGAGCAATTCCATCGTCCCCATGATATGCTGCACAGAGGAGGGTGTTGAAGCCAACTGATGTCCTGAACAGGCTACCGTCGTTGAATCGATCATGATCGAGAAAGTTGAAGCATTGATTAGAGGCGTCCCACATCTCATGGAATGCTCTTTGTCCATGGTAGACAGTTTGAATCACGAAGGGATATTTTTCCTTAGGTTCATGACGGTCCACTTTACAAAGCCGCCAGCAATGAGGAAGGCTTCCGTGAGGCATAGCACCGTAGTTGCACAGAAGCTCGCATATTTTCCAGTTGCTCTGGAGAATAGCCAAGCTCAGCGTGCAAGTATCGTAAGTATCATGATTATCTGCCGCTGCCCCGTTAGTCAGTAGAAATGAAACGCTGTCTGCAACATGACGAGACACTGCATCGCGCAATCGATCCTCCTCATGATAGACATCCTCGAACAGGGCTGGCATGACAGCGTTCATATTCGTTTCTTCGGCAAAATAGAAGATTGACAGATCATCATCACTCGTGGAAAATATATTCGCATTCCTCGCAATCAGCTCGTCAACGATGGATTTATGGTTATGAGTCGCGGCCAGATGAAACAGCGAGCAGCCCTTAGAGTCCCTGCATTCAACCTCAAAACCTCGGTCAAGAAAGAATTTGACGATCTCAAGATGGCCCTTCCTGGCGGCCATAAAGACTGGGTGGTATTTCATAGTGAACCACCTCAGCTCTTTAGCCTCGGACTCATTAGTTCCGAAAGGTGGCTCCATGTTTGACGGGTTTGTTGAGTATCTCCACTTTGCCACGAAAGCTGGCCCAGAAAGAGATGTTCAAGCGCAAGTCAGCCGTCGCCGTGTCTTGCTTTCCGCATCCATAGAGTAGCGGCTCGTACACTTGCTGCAGATGGCGGTTGGTCTGAGCTAGAGCGCTGACGTCTTTCTTTCGGGTAAGATGCTCGCCGAAATTAAGAAGTAACTCCGGGGGTAGGGTGATGAATGACATTTTGGCTCACTGATGGAGAGGTCCATTAGATCTTAGATTTCAAGGCGTTGAAATAGAAGGCCTCACCTTCTGAGATGGTGAATTCGAAAACAGGATACAAAGGAAATGGATTCAGATTGGTTGGAGATTTGAGTGAGTGAAAAATGTCTCGAACTGAATGAGTGGTGGAACAGATGGGCAGGGTAGTAGATGAAGAGGGAGAGATGAAGAGGGAGAGATGAAGAGGGAGAGATGAAGAGGGAGAGATGAAGAGGGAGAGATGAAGAGGGAGAGATGAAGAGG